TAAGTCGAATAAATTTTCGAGATCTTGTTTGCATCATTGCAAATAGTGGCTGATGCAAATAAATAATTATATATGTATTATTGAAGTCCAATAAAATCAAGATCTCTCTCATTTGTATGGCAAGCTAGTATTACTTTCATTTATATGTTTATGTGCAATTATTCAATGGGTTTGGTCGGATCATTTCAAACCATGCTATTTCATGGATATTTTTATACTTTTAAAACAAAAAATGGAATCTTACTAATGGAGGTGCTTTATTTTTTTCTTTTTTTTTTCTAATTAGGTGACTGCAAGAAAATAGTACACTTAAATTCTTGTTTAAATGATCCAACCATACAAAAACGAATTGAGAGGAAAGAGAAAAGAAGAAGAATATTTTATTACGGATCGTTTACAAAGTTTTGAAATGACCTAATCATAAAAACAATGGCAGCAAAAAAAAATAGCGAGTAATTAATTTGATTTTTGACAATTTTATATAAAATATGTGTGAAAAAATATTTATTTAACAATTAAATTATTTATCGTAAATAAAAAGTACAAAACAAAGAGGTATAACAACCTAATTAATTATAAGATACAAGTCAATAACAAATATGAAGATGAATAATTAAAATTAAAGATCAAAATAAAAAACAATGATAAACTATTGAGAGCACATTAAACTAATAAAATATATGAATAATGTTGAACATCTCTTTTACCAACTAGGTAATATTATAATATAATGCATATTAGTTCAATTTTGAGAACCTCTATGCAAATCAAGAAGATGATTTTATTTGAGTGTGAAAGGATTTTGGCATTGTTGAGTTGCACTAGTTTAGGCCATAGCCAAAAGCAAAAGAAACTGAAAAACAAAGTTAGCAAGGGTGGAAGCAAACACAAGTAGAATCACGTTGACACATGCTGTTCCTTGATCTTGCGCCATTACCATATTTCCTGTATTCACTGAACCAGATTAATGCATAATTAAATTTGAACTAAATTTAATTATTTAAATATTAATTTAAAGTCAAAGATTTCAAATTAAGATCGATGAATAAATAAATTTAAAGATATAATATTCACCAACAGCGAAGAAAAGAACAAAAATAAAGATAGTTGAAATTTGTAAATTTTTCATGACTTAATTTTTTTCTTGCGATTCTAAAATTGAGTCAAACTCGTGATTTATTTCCATCACATAAACTTTGGCATTTATAGCACAAATTTGGGGTAGGTAGGAGCAAAGCATTCATTGTCTCTTAAATTTACCACTTTTTAAAATGGCAACATATCTTGACAATTAATTGCTAAAGCCAAGTAATCTACCCAATTTTCAAGTTTGTTATGTTCATAAATATGCTTTGTATGAATCATAATATAACATTTATTTTCTATTCCTAGAATAAAATCATGAGTTTTATCAAGATTCTTTTTGTTTATTGAAATTTGAAATCAAATGCCTAAAAATAATTTATGCTAAGATTTTTGTATTATATTGGGTCATTTAAATACTTACAATCAACATTAAAATTTTTTCTTCTTTTCTATTTCTTAACACCCGTTGCTTTAGGTTTATTTTCATTGTACCACCAATGTGCATGCCTTTAACCAATCTACAATCTGTTTTCCATTTTTTTTTCAATGATTTTATCAATTTATCAATTTTGATTTTTAATTTCAATTTTCTTTTGACCATTTTTAATTGCAATTAAAATGAATTTTAAACAATAAGTTTGTTTGAAGAAATTAATTCGAATTCTAGAGGAAATTAATTGGGAAACGATGAGTAACAAAAATGTGTTGGCTTCAGTTAAGTTTGGTAAGCACAAAGAATTGAGATTTAGAGGTTATTACTATTCCTTCTTTGACAAGGTCTAAATCTAAGGGATAAAAATTGCTTCTCTCTTACCAATTAACACCAAATTGTGCTATATATAAATGCAAGAGATAATAGGTTTCAAATACACAACAAATAACAGAAGAAGAAGAAGAAAAAGAAAAAGGAAGAATAACAGCCATGATAAGTCAACATGTTTCGGCTATCTTCATTCTAACTCTCCTCTTCACTGTTGGTAAATATGTCTTGCATATGAATCATATGATATGATCCTTTCATGATATTTTATTCGAGTAGATATTATTCTAACTATGAAAATATTATAATAATTTTGTAGCGCAATGTATAGATATTGTTTAAACGCTGTTGAATAAATCTATTTAATGTAATATATACTATTGCATGCACAGGAATTGAGGTGATGGCCCAAGATCCAGGGAAAGTATGTGCTGTACCATTTGGTCTTCCAAATTGCAAGGATGCTATATGCAACAGCTCGTGCCAGAGAAATTTCCCACCAAATGGAAATGGGATGTGTCAAGATGGTGCTACTTGTCTTTGCTTTCACCCTTGTTAAATTTGTTCAGATGCTACTGAATAATGCCAAAATCATTTATAATAAGTTGAATAAATTTCCCAGATGCCGTTTGCATCATTGCATGTAGTGATAGATGCAAATAAGTAATTATGTATGGCATTATTGTTGAAGTCCAACAAATTCGAAATCTCTCTCATGCCTCAAAATATCTATTAAATCTTTGTAATCATGCATGTTGTTCAATTTAATTTTTATACTCAAAATTGAAATAATTTAATCTCTTTATTTTGAAAATTACTTCAATTTAATCATTCTCTCTATGAGCATCTAATTTTGCTTTAAAAATGATGATCCCAATATTAACGTGGCACATTTTGATGATGTTGCATCACTATAATGATGTGGTATACCACGTGGCACCAACGTGATGATACGGCAATGCTAACGTATCAATGTCATGTAGTAGATAAAAAAAATTTCAAAAAAATTTTGTACCACATCATAGAGATTAAATTAAATAAAAATATATAATACATGAATTAAATTAAACAAAATTGAGATGTTGAGGGACTAAATTGAAAAAATATTTAAAAAATATAAATATTTATGTAGATGATACATATATTAATTAATAAATCAAATATTTAAGTGTAAAAGATTTATGGTGTTAAAAAATATATAAAATATTTTCTTACTTGATTATTTGATTCTAAAACATGTATATTAATTTATCATCTTTATAGAAATTAAGTTTGAATTCTTCCTTCTATAAAAAGAATTTCGAAAAAAATTTCATACCTAAAGTCAAATTTAGATGAATAATTTGCATTATATTAGAATAAAATAATATAAAAAGACTAAATAAATTTTTTTCTTCTATTTATAATAATATAAAATTTAAAATTTGTTTGACCTAGTTTTTAATTTGAGATGAACTCAAATTAAAAAAATAAATTGATTTAGTTACAATTTTCACAATTTGCAAATACTCATTCTTTTGAAATTATTCAACCCTTACCCAATTTAACTTTTATATAAATTTACTAAAAGTTTCTTATAAAATGATTTTATTTAAGTTCAAATACCATAATTAAATTTTACTAAATTTAAATTTAAATTATTAATTTGGATCTACAAAAATTTTGTAAATACAAAATAAAATTATACAAATATTTACAATTATATTTAACTCTATCAACCATAAATGCAGTTTAATTTAAGAAATTTCAGCCTAAAAAATATAACCTGAAATATTAAACAAAATAAAAAATTGAAGGGATAGAGTAGCTCAAATTCTATACGTGTAATAAGAGATTTGTCATATCCAAATTAAGTAAATCAAAATAAAAAATTACTTTTATAATCGCTAACTCTATATCTCCTTTTTCATTTTTTAAAAGAAAAAACTAAATCAATCTATTTTGCTAATTTGAGTTCATCTCATGTTAAAAACTAAGTCAAATAAATTTTAAATTTGTATACTCTAATGAAAAGAAGAAAAAAAAGAATTTATTTAATTTTTTTATATTATTTTATTCCAACATAATGTAAGTTATTCATTTAAATTTGGCTTTAGGTATACAATTTTTTAAAAAAAAAATTTATAGAAGAAGAATTCAAACTTAAATTTTACGAAAAAGATAAATTAATATACATATTCTAGAATTAAATAATCAAGTAAGGAAATATATATATATATATATATTTTAACACCATAAATCTTTTACATTTAAATATCTGACATATTAATAAGTATATCTATCATCTATTTAAATATTTGTATTTTTCAAAAAAAAATTAATCTTTATGATGTGATATAATTTTTTTTAAAAATTTTTTAATCTGTCATGTGGTACCGACATGTCACCATGTTAGTGTCACATCATCATATTTAATGCTATATGATATTATCTCGTCGTCACTTCAGTGCCACGTGGCATGTCACATTATCATTTTGGTGCCACATCATCAAAATGTGTCATGTCAATGTCACGTAACTACAAAATTGGATGCTGTTAGAAGAAGTGACTAAATTGAACAACATCTAAAATGAAGGAACTAAATTACTTTGATTTTGAGTATATGGATTAAATTGAACAAAATATATAAATACATAAACTTGGTGGGTATTTTGATAGTATTGCAAGCTAGTCTTACTTTCATTTATATGCTTATGTGTAATTACTTACTAATTAAAACCTTTTAAGTTCCATCATTTCCTTTAAAATCAGGTGATTGAAGGGTAATAGTATGCTTAGATTCTTATTTAAATGATCTAGCCATACAAAATTGAAGAGAGGAAAAAAAATAGATGAGAGGAAAATATTTATTTAACAATTCAATTATTTATTGAAAATAATAAAAAGAATAAAATAAAGACCTATAACTACTTAGTTAAATATAGGATAGAAGTCGATAACAAATATGTTCATGAATAACATAATACAGTGCCAAGGCAATGGGCTTAGGGCAATGCGGTGCTTTGGGGCCGAATGGACCCAAATTGCATGGCACTGTGTGTGGAGGCACAGTTCGGCTAGGTTGTGCGATTAGGCCCACCCACCTTCATGTTGGTTAGATTCAACCGCTGCCAACGGTATTTAAAGTGTTCAACATTCTACTCCGACAAACACTTCCTGTTAACTTAAATTATTCACTATAGAGTCACCATCCTGGTTCCTCAGCTTGTAAAAACCTTAATTAAACTTGAGAAGTACAAAGAAAAAGAAAAAAAAAGGGAAGAAGATCAATGTCGAATAAGTCTAATCTTCCTGTGCTTAACATTCTTTTATTATTAATTTTATTATCTTCATCAAATTTCCTTCCTTCAGCCCTGGCCAAATCTCGCAATCCAATCACAGTACATGCCAATATCTCTTTCTTTTGTTTCTTACGTTTCCAGTTTCTTTTTTCCTGCTAATATTAGCTTTTTCTTTTGTTGTGTTTTGTTTCCTTACTTGGGTATTTCATTTTAAATGATAATTTTCAGGATTCTGAGACTAAGAAAAAGAAGAGTGAATGCTATGCTGATATTGAGAGGTGGGTTTTTTTCTGTTTTCTCCTTTTTGTCTCTCTTTACTTTTCTTTTATATTCGCTGTTTTTCTTCCATTAGCTTGAATTTCTGGTTATTTGGATTGAAATAAATATGGGTTTTTCATGTTTTTGCTTAATATTTGATTATATCCTAGCTACAGTTATCTATATTTACTATTTCAATCGATTTTATTTCAGTTTTGAAATCTTTCTCTTAATTCAACTTTTTGTTTCTTTCCCACAATTTTCCTTGAGAGGGACTGGCAATGGTTTTTTAATTTTTTTTTTTAGTAAAGAAGATGAATGTATAACAAAATTGGGGTTTTGGTTCTAATTAATAAGATAAAATAATTTTCAAGTAGAAACTTTTTTTTTTAATATCTCTTGGTCCGGCTATTATATTTTTTTTTTCTGTTTGATGATGGAATCAGTGGATTGTGGGGTGAGCAATGTAAGTCTTCATCAATAGCAAAGGAGAATTGTGCTTTGAAGTGCCTTTCTCCGGCTTGTTATGAGCTTATATATGAAAGTGATCCGGTATGTAAAATCCTTCTTTGCTGTGGTACTCTGTTACATCTGTTCCTATTGTAAGGTTTAACGGTTTCTTCCTTTTGGATTTTTCATATTGTAGCTTGAAGAAGGAGAGAAAGATTTTATAAGGAGCCAAGAGTTCAAGTACTGTATGTATAAGTAAGTTTGACATCTTTTATGTATTCATTATGTCTTTTCTGCTTGATATTGTGCAATAATCATGCTGTTATTAAACATAACTTATAACAAGTGGGAGTTTGGAGCGTGATGCATCTCAGATTTTCCTATATTTTCATCTTACCCCTCATTTGGATTTTTTTTCTCCTCTGAGTAGTAGTATTCTGGGCTAGGTCTATGCTAATTGTTGCTCTATACCTCTCTTAATCTCTTGGAATTGAATAAGTATTCTGGTAAATTGCTTGAACAAGATTGATTATTGGGGATTAAGCCAGCTGTTCTAGTAAAAGAGAATGAACAGAATATGATTGTTTGAATCCTAACATAAGTACGCCATGTGGAGTATATTACACAGAGGTGTGAATACTAGTATTTTCGTGGATTTCTATTATTGTGAAGAAGAATTTGGGTTGATTAGAAATCTAATGAGAATATAGAAAACAATGGAGTGCATATAGAAGCAAATGCCTTGGTGGAGGAATCTGCATGGTGAAGGTATGACAGACCAGGCCACCATGGAGAGTCGATAAATTAGCTTGAGATATATCTATTGTACTTAATGTAAAGGGTGGCCCTTGTTGAGGACATGTAGACTCAAACACAAATGATACTTATCAGGTAAAAGAGCCATTTTGAAATTTCTATTGCGAGTCATGAGACAATATCCTGTTGGAAACCTAAGCTGTTGTAATCATCATCACATGATCTTCATGACATAAGTTTTTAAGAAAGGAGGTTAAGAATCTGGTTACGGGTGGCTTTTATTATAGGGCTGTTCAGTGACCACCTGTTTCAACTAAATGCAGCTAAGTCTTGACACTCAAGTTTGCTTAGTCTTTGTGAATGGGAAACAAACTCAAAAGTCCTTCACTTGGAAGATGCATTTTCATCAGAACTTACTTATTGCTGCAACATGGATTTTGTCATGGGTTGTTTAGAGCTGAGCCTCTTTGTATGCTATCCTTTATGCCTGCTCTTTATCATATTCGAGGTTGATGCAGACAAATTGTTGCTTGATTCAAACGCTCATCATCTTCGATTCAGCCTTTCTTTCCAATCTGGGCCATTTGGGGTGCCTTGATGTTGATGGGTGCTGTTGTCCTCACCCACTCCTGCCTGACAAGGTTCATAGATGTTGTTTGGTTGTGGTAATAGAAGTATTTGTGTGATTGCAGCAGTATCTAGCCTTTAAAGAATATGTACACACATACACACAAACTCTAGGGTCTAGTGCAGATATATCTTGTAACCCTGTCCTTTAGTTTAGGCTGTAGTTGCAACTTAGCACAGTTTCTTTGGTGAGTGACTTCTGCATCTTTGGACCAAATGATGTTAAGCATTGGACATACATATACTGATTTGCCCTTATAACTTGGCAGCATATCATCAACTCATTTTTGGTTGCTATATAACTGGCCTTATTTTAAGTTCATCAAGTATTCCTTTTCTACTTCCATAAAAAACCTTAAGTGAGGAAGTGCACCTCCAATTTACATGTGAGAGATGCAAGTAATAGCAATAAATTAGTTATACCATTTCTGAGTCTTTTTCCCCCTCGCTTTCTCAAGATCCTAGCTTTCCTCATTCGAGCGTCACAGCAATGCGGGAAAAGAAAGCTTGCAGGTCCATGCTGTCTCATCCACACCTTGCTTGTTTATATTAATTTTGACAGTTTCTAACATCATACATCCTACTTCTGTGCCAGTGACCACACTGGATCACTAGAGTACTTGTAGTGACAGTTGATCATTTTTCAATTTTTTTAAAGGGAGTGTGGGTAGACCTTCTACAAATTGTTAGTGTCTTTTCTGTTCATTAGTTTGGCTTACAATGGAAGATCTTTTTATGGAGTGGCTCCCTCTCAATTGTGGCCAAAGTGCCTATGTCTCGAGTCTTGCCTGCATTTTTCTTGAGATGGTTTTGGTGTTGGTGGTTATTTGACGAGCTTCAGTAATTCTTATCTAGTGAGAAAGGAGTGTAAAAATGTTACATATAGGATGATATGAACTTTCAGGAGGAGCATATTAATTTTGGATGCTTGAGGATGACTTTTGGGGCTTGGAGACAAGTTAGTGAATAACTCCTAGCAACACCCCTTGATATAATTTCTTTTCCCTTTTTTCGTTTTTGACTGATTGATAAAATTTCTCAAGTGTATTAGACATGGTTCCTAGAGAAGATGATGGATGATTAACAAGGCTTAATTCTTCAACCAGAGAATCCCCATTTTTGGTTGCCAAGCTCTCACACTGTGTTCCTATTGAAACTTACGGAACTTATAGTTCTTTAGTTTAGAGAAGGAAACCACCCATCTCTTTATGGAATTATCTGTAGCATGCGCCTAAGCCAGTAGATAGTTACAGCTTTGTGACATTAAGAAAACATACTGTGATATTATGTTTCTCTTCTCCTTAATTTTTTTTCCTTGACATAAATTTTAGTATATGGAATGAAAGAGAACTGGTTTATTGACAGGATTATTTCTCCCTTGTGCTTAATACTATATATTGGGTCTAATTATATAACTTTTGAGTTTTGAAGTAGTACCCTTTTTTGGGGGCTTAGGTTTCTTATTTGAGATGTTGGTCTGGCTTATTTGGTTGATATCATCCAATGCAATTAAATGAAGGCGGAAATACATTTTCGATCCATGTAGATGGGACAGTTGGATCTAGACACTGGGGCAATCAACAAAAAATTTGTTGGGAACAAAGTTAAGATAGAGTTATCATCTTCATGCTTTTGCTGGGCATTGATTGACTTGTTTCTTCCGTTTACTTCTGCTTTATAAACTAGTTGTGTGATTCATGCCTAACTTAATATAGTAAACAAATAAGTTACTGACAAGGATTGACTACCCTTGAGCGTGTGTGAAATCTTGGTCGCTAGGCATACTTTTGCTGCTTCTTCGTTTGGAAGTATATGGTGAGATGTTGCCTTTTTTTATCTGGTTGACATCGTTTTTTGCATTATTGATGACTCTTTCTAATGATGTGTAAAGTATGGGTGTCAGAAAATCATGTTTTCCTCTTGCATTTATGGAAAGGCCAATAAAAATTTACACAGTTAGGCTGTTCACCTGCAGAGTGAGAAAAGTGGCTATAATACTTTGAGCAATTTCCTCGTGTCTTTTCTTGCTCGGTTTTGGACACTAGTTCTGTTGGGATATCAAACCACTTTTAAGTACATTTTCTCTTTTCTGTTCACTTTATAAAAATGCCTATGTTGGTGTCTCAACTAACATAATTGTGGTCGAACTTTTTACTCTAGAAGCTTGTTCTAGTCATGTAGTGATTGAGGATAAATGCAAAAGAACCTTGGTTAAGCCTAGGCATGTTAATTGTACATCTTTCAATCATTATATACCATGTTCAGTGATTATTCTGAGCTGGAGATCATCCTCTTCAGCTGAATGGCCTTCTTTGATGTTTAGTCATGTTGGTGTTTGTCTTTCTTTCTTTCTTTTTTAAATATAATTTTATCATAACATTCTGGAAGGGTACCTACAACTTGTTCACTTGAATCATCTTTATTCAATATTTTTTGCAGGTTATCATTAGGAGAGAGCCTTGAGGGTGTTAAGGGTACCTTCGACTATTAAGCGATGTAAGCTGGCGGATTTGAGCGTGAGTTGGGCCATTGATTCTGTAGAACAATTGTGTCTTTACATAATGACTGACAGTAATAGCAACAATTTTTCATTCACTGTATCTTCTGTCTCCACATTTTTATTCTCTGTGAGTGCAAGCACGTCCTTGTTTCTTCAACCTTCTTTGGACCCAATGCAATGATTGCGGCTGTGTCCGGGTTGGTTTTGTCTGAATGCTATCTTTATTTTGAATCTTGATCAAGCATTGAGTTGTTTTATTCAAACTTTTTAACAGGGTCCTGGACCATCTTCCAGGGTATCTTACGGCATGATGTATTGCTTTTGGATCTAACAGCTGAACACCTGTAAAAGTAAATCCACCCATGAGTTTAGATTCACACTGCTTGATTTTCATCTTTGGAAGAGATTTATGAGGAATGCTTTCTTAGTAGTTCTATTTCTTGATTTGGCAAAGGGGGATTTGAGCCTACATGTATGTAACTAAATGCTCGGATGCTTTTTATTTTTATAATCATTTCTTTTTCTGCCATTAGGATTAGCTGTTCATGACAACCTGATCTATTTTCGGTGGCTGTGGGCCAAGCCAGCTAAGTAGATTAATTTTGGTTTAAGTCCATTGTAGAAGATTTGGTTTAAGGTTTATTTCGAAGCCATGCTTTGTGTCTTGTCTTTGTCCTTTAGGGCAACAACTTTGCTGAAGCTTATTCTTGCTAGGACATAGGACATAGCCACTCACTGCTTTTTTTTATTTTAGCTTTGTGTCAAATGTCATCAATTTCCATTGATTTAGTTGACCAAATAAATATTTAATGTAATCAATTATAGAGCAACACCTAATTGTGACAATTACCTCCACTGCTTACAAAAGAAATAACAAAATATTACCCCCACTGCTTACAAAAGAAATAGCAAAATATTACCCCCACTTAGTGGGTAATCAATCCAATTACTAAAGTAATTTGCTCTGGCATTATGACAGATTATGGTACAAAGATAACGCACGTGATAATTGCTTCCAACAAAATTGTTTCTGTAACATCTTTTCAATTGGAATAAAAAGGAAGTATCCCAAAATTCAAAAGGCTTCCTTCTCATCCTTTGTTTGCTTCTAGTTAATGCCCTCAATCATTACGTTTCCACCTTTAAACATTTCTTGTACCAAATCTCTTTCTCCTTCATTCATTCACTCACTCACTCACTCACTCACTCCCTCCCTTCAACTCTCTCTTTCTCTATCTCACTCTCATTGTTTGCTTTGTGAGAAAAAATTGAAGCAGTCCATAGAGCTCCTTTCTCTTCTCTATCATCGTTTTTTCCCTCTCGTTGGTTACCTTTGTCAGAGCTTTCATGGAGGCTCAAAGCCAAAACAAACAGAAACCCAATTCAGATCAAGTAGTCCTCTCCATGAATGAACCAAACTTAGAACACAAAGAATCGCCACCTCAAGCGGTAGATAATAACCTTACTGATCCAGTGTCACAGTCCCCTGCAAAAGCCAAAACTCTTCGCCGTCTCAACTTCTCCAAACCAAAAGCTCGTTTTGCTGAAAACACCTACCCTCTAACTCCCAAAACCATCCATGAATCCGAAGACAACAAACCTTTATACCCTCATGATGACACCTCGTCCACGGACTCCGATGACGAGTGGTTCGGAAACGAAGGAGAAGATGATGAAGATGGTAATGGAGATACTAAACAAGCCAAGTTTAGAGGAAGAAGAAGGAAAAGAAAGATCAACAAAAGAGCCTTAATTGAGTTCTTTTTCTTTGTCATTATCATGACTTGCTTAATCTGTTCTCTAACTCTTCAATCTCTCAAACACCAACTTACCTGGGGTTTAGAGCTATGGAAATGGTGTCTGATGATCATGGTTTTGTTTTGTGGACGTTTGGTCTCAGCTTGGGTTGTGGGGTTCCTGGTTTTCCTCATAGAACGAAATTTCATGCTTCGGGAAAAGGTTTTATATTTCGTTTATGGATTACGGAAAAGCTTTCAAAATTGTGCTTGGTTAGGCTTAGTTCTTATATGTTGGATGATCATGTTCCCTGATATTCACAAGCAAAACATTGTGGTAAAAAAGGCATTCCTTGGCCTTATAGCTGTTCTAATCGGAGCCACGATATGGTTACTAAAGATCGTCCTGGTCAAGGTTCTAGCTTCGTCTTTTCACGTAGCAACCTTCTTTGATCGCATGAAAGAGAGCGTTTTCCATCATTACATCCTCGATGCACTATCAGGGCCTCCTTTAGACGAAGCTGAGAGGGAATTGCCTCGAAAACGAGGGCTGAGGCACTCTAGAACTATGCCCGCGAGGCTGAGGGAAGGCGGCGGAGGCACGGTGAGAACGTTGTCGAAGAAGGGGTCGAGAAGGATCGACATGGAGAAGCTGAGGAAGCTCAGTTTGGAAAGTAGGGCTAGTGCATGGAATGTTAAGAGGTTGGTGAACTACGTCAAGTCATCAGGGTTGTCGACGATTTCGAGGACGGTCGATGATTTCGGGGCTGGGGAGTCGGAGATTAACAGTGAGTGGGAGGCTCGGACATGCGCTCAGAAGATTTTCAAGAATGTAGCCAAGCCTGGGGCCAAGTAAGTCTCTCTTCTGTCCCCCTCCTTGACAAATTTTTTAGTTTAATTATTTTTTTGGATTAATCTGTACCTAATTCCTCATAGCAATGAAATAAATTATAACTGATGAAGATCATATTAATTAGAATCTAGTAACTAGCAAGTTAAGTCTGTCGTCAGCCATCAAATTATCCTCGCGATTTCACTTCACATCTTCATGATCAAATTTAATAGATGGATCGAATTCAAGTAACTTATCAATCTGTCAACTCATATCCTGGTTACGATCCAAAGTTTCCGAGTTGCATTTTTGACAGGCTGCTAATTAAGTGGTTGCTCATAAGCATTCATGCAACATGAAATATATGTTCCCAACTCTAATTATTTTGTCACATGCAAGTAAAATATTCCAGTCATTATGAACTACTCGAATTTATTCATGTCTGTCTGTCGCCATCGTTGTTTGTTGCACTCAAATGGTGATCATAAACATGATCCAACCCACTCCTCTTGGTCGATATAAACAATTTTTTATGATAGGGTCCAGGCATATACATAATCATGCCAAACATGGAAATATTACTTTCCCACTTGCATTCTTCATGTCAAACATGACTTTCTTTTTATTTTAATTAGTATTCCTTGCCAAGTTGGACTTGTCCATTTTCAATATATAGATGATATATATAGAGCTATCAATTCTCTCCGAGCTTACTGTCCCTGCCATGTTCTTGTAGTTCTTTTCTGATGATTTTGGATTAAAGAAGGAGATTATCATTATCTTCTATTTTATACATAGACTCAACAGTTATTCATTAAAATTATTTTTACTCTAAAATGTTCCATTAGTTTATTGACATTCTAGCCTACAAGTTAATTTAGAGACAATTCCAAGTATGGCTAGGCCAGCTCAATTATATGCAAGTCATGAGTTGTTCTTATAGAATAAATAAATAAACAAATAAAATGAATGGCTCAAAGCAATCAGATGTGGTGCAGAGAAAGTGCGCAAATAGGTATAGTGGACACACTGATCACCAATTGGTCCATGTTACATTGGAGTGGATCTTGAAAAGATGTAGAAGATCTTCTAGACAGTTCCTCCCAATATTGTGATAATCTACAGAATTCTAACATAAGGTCGGGAATTCATAATTAGTGCCAATAATCGATTTGTGGGTGTATTCCTGTCTCTAATTAGGAATTGGTTTGATTGTCTTTAATGTTACAAACAACGTAAAAAGTACACTAATTTTTTATCAGTCATGACAAAACATTTGCGTGGAACCCAAAAAGTGGTCCTGGAATCAACTTTCTTCTAAGGTATTGAAGGGATATTCGACCTATCCACTGCCCAGACTTATTGCTGCTATCACCATCTTAAAGACCTAGCTTTTATGGCAGGTTGCCACAACAGGACCACATGAATGCTGATGCTTGGGCTCCCTTCGGTTCAAGCTAAAAGCTTACACAAATATCAATCCCACTAACATATTATATCTTTATAATGAATAAATGTCAGTAATATGAAAGTATAACATAATTGATGATGCCGTTTGGATTTAACTCAAATGGTAAGAGTAAATGAAATTTAGGTTGGACAATTGTTCTCTTTTTCATATTGGAATCATCTTTTTTCCCTCTTTTGTAACTTCTCCATTTGATTTCTTTGGTGTCTTCTTTACGATGGTAGGTATATAGAAGAGGAAGACCTACTGAGGTTCTTGATTAGTGAGGAAGTGCATACCATAGTTCCTCTCTTTGAAGGAGCCCTCGAGACTGGGAAGATCTCAAAATCTTCCTTCAGAAATTGGGTGGTAAGAATAATCAACGTTCTATTTCTAGCTTTATGTCAATGTCATCGTATTAACTTTTTAACCTAACTAGTAATAATATTGAATGCATAATGCATTGAATTTTGCTTGCTTTACCCTCCTCTTATATAGATTTGAAACCTGGTGGTCCTAAAACCCTAATGGTTTTGCCTAAAATAACTTAAGTTGTCCCATTAACTTATAGATTTCAATTTCAATTTTATCAATTGGTTTCGGTTTTAAGTTTTCATTTAATCATTGTTATATACGAAATTAAAACATCGTGCCTGGCTAACAACATAATTATTATATGAGATACATGCAATTAATCATAATTATATTAGTTTGTTTCAAATTGTGATTAATTAGAGTATGGTGAGTTGCACTTTGCCAGGTACATGCATATGTGGAGCGTAAAGCCTTGGCTCATTCCTTGAACGATACCAAAACTGCAGTGCAACAGCTTCACAGATTAGCCAGTGCAATTGTTAGTGTCATTATAATTGTGGTTTCCCTTCTCGTAATGGGGGTTGCCACAATTAAGGTTGTCTTTGTTGTCACATCTCAGTTGCTACTTGTTGGATTCATGTTCCAAAATACCTGCAAAACCATCTTCGAATCCATCATTTTTGTGTTCGTTATGCACCCTTTCGATGTTGGTGATCGTTGTGTCATTGATGATGTTCAGGTAAGGAGTTTTCTTGACAAACAAGGCAAGGATAGATATTAAACTTTTAATATTTTTCTTCCCAAATATGATGTTTTGGGGGGGTTTGGTGCAGATGATTGTGGAAGAGATGAACATTTTAACAACTGTCTTCTTAAGATATGACATGGAGAAGATATACTACCCTAATTCTGTTCTTATTACGAAGCCTATCA